TCCAATCCCCAGGAAAGAAATCAGATGCTGCAATGATATCTGTTCCAAGCATGAGCTATTTCCAGTACTACAACCCGAGAAATATTACATTTGAGGGAAGAATAAAAGGAACACTGGACTGAAAAAGGATACAACAACCGTCGAATTAGAAGCTCAAATATCAGAACAATTAAGCATGAGACCCATCGAGACTTTAGAAGTATATATAACAGAAGATATTATTCTCATAAAAGGTATTCTATATAAATCCAGTAATTTCAAATCGGAAAACAGCTATAAAGCATAGATCTCATATTGTAATTTTAGCATAGGGTGATTCTATTCTCCCGTGGAAGCAGTGTAAGGGAATGAAAATACCTTGAGGTATTTGATCTTCATTATCTGGTATAAGAATAGAGCCGTTGTATTGTACATGAACAGAAGCCGGAAGTGATGGTGGGCCTTCCACCACAGTAGCATCAGCAATAGGGGTTTTAATCTGAGAAGAGCCAAAGAAGAAGAAACGAAAAGCAAGACCTAAAATGAGAGAGGCAGCCGCAACCTTAAGGAGCAAGTTCTTGTGCTTGCTTAATTTCCAGTTGAACTTCATTGTCTTGTTAAATTTCTTCTGATTCACTCAGATTTTGAGCAGAAGGGGCTCAGGCCAAAGTAGCTCCTTCCATGGCCGATTACTTGTTGACTCCAGGTCAGCCTCCGGTAATTTTGAAATCCAAACAAAACACTCAGAGATTCCGAAATTATAATATGTGTGACCGACACTAAACTCTGTTATTCAAAGCTGTACTGAGACGAGTATATGCAGATCACTCTCTTCTTTAATTACATTTTTTTCCTCTTAAAAAATTAGATTTAACTATAATTGGTCTGTTAATTTAAGTATAAATTAATAACACAAAATTAGTTCGTATAATATTTTGAAACTAATGGTTTAATTGTTTGACATCCATTAATTAAAAAGTTAAAAATAAAATAAAGATAAAAGAACAACAGGAAGGGACGGGGGGACAAAAAAGATAGAGATATATATGGCACCGTGGCATGTGAAAATACGATCCTAGTTTCCTGTTTTTTCCCTTATAATAAAAGTATTTACATAGACGCAGTAAGTACATTTCCGAAAAGGAAAATAGAAATGACCAAGTAATGATTACAAAATTTCTGAATAATTTAACTATTTATAGGCAGAGAGATGGAGCAATTCAATTTTCTACAATGACAGTCCAACTAGGCACTAGATGATGAAAGCCCAATGTACATGTTCTGAATTTAAGAAAATATGAATTTGTATTTTAAATGTAGAAGTAAATAATAATGTTAGTGTTTATATTTCTAGCACAGTAAATTAAAACGCTCAATAAGAATACAGAAATGTCTATT